CCACTTCTGTTCAACATAGTTCTCGAAACACTGGCCAGAGCAATTAGACAGACGAAAGAAATTAAAGGCATCAAAATAGGAAAAGAAGAACTTAAATTATCACTATTTGCAGATGATATGATTCTATACCTAGCAGACCCAAAAGGCTCTACAAAGAAACTATTAGAGCTAATAAATGAATTCAGCAAAGTGGCAGGATATAAAATCAACACGCATAAATCAAAGGCATTCCTGTATATCAGCGACAAATCCTCTGAAATGGAAATGAGGACAACCACTCCATTCACAATATCTTCAAAAAAAATAAAATACTTGGGAATCAACCTAACAAAAGAGGTGAAAGACTTATACAATGAAAACTACAGAACCCTAAAGAGAGAAATAGAAGAAGATCTTAGAAGATGGAAAAATATACCCTGTTCATGGATAGGCAGAACTAACATCATCAAAATGGCGATATTACCAAAAGTTCTCTATAGGTTTAATGCAATGCCAATCAAAATCCCAACGGCATTTCTTGTAGAAATAGAGAAAGCAATCATGAAATTCATATGGAAAAATAAAAGACCCAGAATAGCAAAAACAATGCTAAGCAGGAAGTGTGAATCAGGCGGTATAGCGATACCAGACTTCAAACTATACTACAGAGCAATAGTAACAAAAACAGCATGGTACTGGTACCAAAACAGGCGGGTGGACCAATGGTACAGAATAGAGGACACAGAAACCAATCCACAAAACTACAACTACCTTATATTTGATAAAGGGGCTAAAAGCATGCAATGGAGGAAGGATAGCATCTTCAACAAATGGTGCTGGGAAAACTGGAAATCCATATGCAACAAAATGAAACTGAATCCCTTTCTCTCGCCATGCACAAAAGTTAATTCAAAATGGATCAAGGAGCTTGATATCAAATCAGAGACACGCCGTCTGATAGAAGAAAAAGTTGGCTACGATCTACATACTGTGGGGTCGGGCTCCAAATTCCTCAATAGGACACCCATAGCACAAAAGTTAATAACTAGAATCAACAAATGGGACTTACTCAAACTAAAAAGTTTTTTCTCAGCAAAAGAAACAATAAGAGAGGTAAATAGAGAGCCTACATCCTGGGAACAAATCTTTACTCCTCACACTTCAGATAGAGCCCTAATATCCAGAGTATACAAAGAACTCAAAAAATTAGACAATAAGAGAACAAACAACCCAATCAACAAATGGGCCAAGGACCTGAACAGACACTTCTCAGAGGAGGACATACAATCAATCAACAAGTACATGAAAAAATGCTCACCATCTCTAGCAGTCAGAGAAATGCAAATCAAAACCACCCTAAGATACCATCTCACTCCAGTTAGATTGGCAGCCATTATGAAGTCAAACAACAACAAGTGCTGGCGAGGATGTGGGGAAAAGGGTACACTTGTACATTGCTGGTGGGACTGCAAATTGGTGCAGCCAATTTGGAAAGCAGTATGGAGATTTCTTGGAAAGCTGGGAATGGAGCCACCATTTGACCCAGCTATTCCCCTTCTCGGTCTATTCCCTAAAGACCTAAAAAGAGCATGCTACAGGGACACTGCTACATCGATGTTCATAGCAGCACAATTCACAATAGCTAGACTGTGGAACCAACCTAGATGCCCTTCAATGGATGAATGGATAAAAAAAAATGTGGCATTTATACACAATGGAGTATTACTCTGCATTAAAAAATGACAAAATCATAGAATTTACAGGGAAATGGATGGCATTAGAGCAGATTATGCTAAGTGAAGCTAGCCAATCCCTAAAAAACAAATGCCAAATGTCTTCTTTGATATAAGGAGAGTAACTAAGAACAGAGTAGGGTCGAAGAGCATGAGAAGAAGATTAACATTAAGCAGGGATGAGAGGTGGGAGGGAAAGGGAGAGAGAAGGGAAAATGCATGGAAATGGAAGGAGACCCTCAGAGTTATACAAAAGTACATACAAGAGGAAGTGAGGGGAAGGGGAAAAATAATACAAGGGGGACAAACGAATGTCAGTAGAGGGGGCAGAGAGAGAAGAGGGGAGGGGAGGGGAGGGGAGGGGGGATAGTAGAGGATAGGAAAGGCAGCAGAATACAACAGACACTAGTATGGCAATATGTAAATCAATGGATGTGCAACTGATGTGATTCTGCAATCTGTATATGGGGTAAAAATGGGAGCTCATAACCCACTTGAATCAAATTGTGAAATATGATATATCAAGAACTATGTAATGTTTTGAACAGCCAACAATAAAAAATTAAAAAAAAAAAAAAAGAGATGTTGAACCAACACAAATATGGGATAAGTTTGGTAAGAAAACTCCATGTTTCTGTATAGTGAAACTGACCCATTCCATTTTCTGTACAGTATTATTACAGCATAAAGGATATCAGCATCGGTGGGCGGTGTGTTTGCAATGGCCACGCTGAAGTGTGCAATGCAAATAATCCTGAAAAACGGTAAGTACACTGGGCGGACTGTTTCTGCCATGAATGAGTCTAATTGTTCCAGTGGATGTTTGCATCCCATTAAATATTTCTAGATTCCTGCCCGCAATAAGAATGTTTCAGGTTCAATAGCCCTCTACTTCCTTCCCCAGACCACCACTGGGCCCATAGCAGATGTCACTAATCGATCTCAGTGCTCTCTGGATAATATGGGATGCAGCCACTAAATCCCCAAACCCAAGAAGCCATTAGTTTTCTGCCCCCTACCCCACTACAATTAGATTTTTTACATTCATTTGGTTTTTGGTTTCTGCCATGTTGGACACGTTCCATCTCAAGATGGAATAGGCAGAGAAAGCAAGAGCACACACTGGGCCCGGCTTACTGTGAACATACTCTCCATTCAGAAAATCTTGTATGACTGCCATTAAGCAGGTGATGATTTAGTCCAATGGATTTCAGACCCATTCAAATTCTGCCTATGCCAAGGAGCTTAATGATGAAAATTTGGTTCTAAATCATCTCCTTTCTAAATATGTTTAAATAATCCTCCTTTCTAGTTCAAATTATATTAGAAAACATTGAGTTGAAATAAATGTCTTCTTTTGCGGGGAGTGAGGGAAGGTACCAAAAGGACTCATGCCAAAAGTAATTAATGAGGGCTGATACCAAGAGTAACCTGGAGCAATAATGAATTTTGAGTATTTATTCGAAAGACATTGTTCAAATATCTTAAATACTTAAATTTTATGGCCACTGTTTGACCACAGTGGTCACAGAAATCCAGTAATAATTGGAGTCCTCTAGAATGAGGGTTCTAGATACAGCCTGAGGAGCTCTATTGTTATTTTCATGGAATTTATCTTAGAACTTTCTCTTCTTCCTCTTCAGAAACAATTACCACTTTCATTTCCTGTCTTTTTCCAAACTACTTTTTTTCCTCTGAAGACAATTTTTGTTGTTGTTGCTCTTTTATGCTACTTATGTAATTTGAGAGTGTAGTTGGATTCTAGTCAGCAGTCTGTTTTTAATATGCAATCGTTTCTCCAGCCTTACAAGGGAAGGTTCACTGTGAACCATCCTGAACAGAGGTGATCCTGAATGCAAACCACAGGATTTAAGCTTCCTTTCATGACCTACCTGGTGCAGTTGGGCAAGCCATTAATAAATGATAAAGTTGACAAGAAAAGTAAGACTTCATTGTCACCTTGGGGTTACACATTTTCAAATTCTTTCTTTTTTAAATTATGCATTGCAAAATTTACCATTCTAAACCATCTTTAGGTGTGCCATTCAGTAGTGTTGAGTACATTCACAGTGTTGTTCAACCAATCTCTACGACTCTTTTCGTCTTGCAAAACTGAAACTTGGTGTCCATTTTCAGAACTACCCGTCTACCCTTCTGCCAGCTCTATTTTTGGTCTTATGGATTTGACTATGCTGGGTACCTCAAAGAAGTGGTATCATCTAGCATTTGTCTTTTTGTAACTGGTTTAGTTCACTTCACATGTTTTTAAGTTCATCCATCTTGAGCATGTGTCAAAATTTCCTTTCCTTTTAAGGCAGAAATAATATCTATTTATATGTATAGACCACATTTTGTTTATCCATTCACCCATAACTGGACACCTAGATTGCTTCTATCTTTTGGCTATTGGGACTAAGTCTGCTGCCAATATACATGTGCCCTATTTTTGCTTTTAAAAAACTGAGGTATATTTTGCATACAATAGGATGCATTATTTTTTTGTCAGCTTTTTTGCTGCTGTGACCAAATGACTTGACATGAACAGTTTTAGAGCAGGTAAAGTTTATTGGGCATTCAGATTTTCAGAGGTCTCGGTCCATAGATGACTGACTCCATTGCTCTGTGCCTGAGATGAGGCAGGACATCATGGTAGAAAGGTGTGGAAGAGGGAGGCAGCTCAGGCCATGACAATCAGGAAGCAGACAGAGACTCTGCTCACCAGGGACAAAATATATACTCCCAAAGGCATATCCCAGGGACCTAGCCACACTCTACTTGTCTACAGTTATCACCCAGTTAATCCTCATCAGTGGATTAACTCACTGATTAGGTTAAGACCGTCATAACCCAACCATTTCCCCTCTTACTATCTTTGTAGGATAAAAGTTCACGCATGAGCTTTTTGGTGTTACCTCTTATCTAAACCATAACATGCATAGATCTGAAATGTTAAATGGTCAGCAATTTTACCTATTTGTATTACCACCCCAAGAGGAATATCTGTAAAGACTGGCCATTAAGCTGGTTGCTGGGTATAGTAATAATTTTCTGTGTGTACAAGTCCCTGTGAGAGATGGATTTTACTTTTAGCCAGATCCAGGCTTATGTATCTTTAGGCCTCGCTTGGTGTTCGGGCAGAGTTGCCCACTACCAGCTTGTGTGGTGTGCTGGGTGGAACCCTTCTTCCTGACCAGCTGCAGACCCTAATGTTGCCGTCCCTCCTTCAGGGATCAAGGGTGCCGTCTGAAAGGGCCCATCCACTCAACAACCAACAATTAATTAGCAAGGACCTGTTTGTTAATGACTAATCTATCTGCACCATGTAACCTCCTGGATAGGAGGGTCCCAGGACACTAGGAGCCAGAGCAGATAAGTTTTGAGTTGGGGAGAGAAAGGTTCATTTAGTATCTCTGGGACAAAATGGTGCCCTGGGACAAAATGGTGCCATGTGAGAAAGAACTAGAAGCCACCAGGGAGGGGCTGAGCTTCCTGCTTAGAAGAGCTTCCAAACCACGTTGACCCGGCCAGACCTAGAGGCTTCTGACCCAGTGGTTAATGGCTCAAGTACCTCCCTGTGCCTTGGGGAAAGCTCAGTTCACCATCTGTCCACTCTGCCTTTTCTTTCTTTGCCTCCTGATTCACTTCTGCCCAAAGATTGACCTTGAACCAATGCTGATGGAAACCACACCCATGAATAGGAACATATCTTATGGTGTGTATAAGGAGACTCAATGACTTAGTGGAGGGAGCCAAGGCTGCATAATGGGTAAAGTTAGTTGCTAACCAGGCAGAAGGTGGCTTTAGCCAAGGATGTAGACTATGCTGACGTTATGCATGGACAGGAAGAAGGATTACACATTCAATTCTGAGCATCCTAGCAGTCAACTAAATAAGGGAAACCTGCTCACGTTCCTATTTCACTATGATCACAATATAAAAAGCAATCCTTCACTTAAGAGAAGCATGATTGTAGATATTAGAACTAGATAATTTTCCTCTGGGGGTTGAGTAGAGAGATCATCATGAAACAGACTCTCTAGTCAATATCTTTTTTTAAAAGAATTTTTTATTTGTTTTGATTAGTTATACATGATAGTAGAATGTACTTTGATACATCATATATATAAAATGGAGTATAATTTCTCATTCTTCTGGTTATACCATGATGTAGAATACCCTGGTTATATAGTTATATATGTACATAGGGTAATAATGTCTAATTCATTTTACTATTCTTCCTATCCCCATACCCTCTCCCCTTCCTTCATCCCCCTTTACCTAAAGTAACTCTATTCTTCCTTAGCTCCACCTCCATTGCAAATTAGCATCCACATATCAGAGAGAACATTCTCCAGCTCCATCTATTTATCAGCAAATGCCATAATTTGATTCTTCTTTAAGGCTGAGTAATATTCCATCATATATATATATATATATATATATATATATATATATATATATATATATATAT